CGGTTCTTTGGAGGTGACTAGACAGAAGGTCATAAAGAAGTTTGTAGAAATGTTTCCCAAATCTCACATCACAACACAGTGCAGCTGCTGACATGCAAAGATATGGTAGGCCATGAGTGTTAACAGATGACTAAGTACTGAATAGCTCTGACAGCATATTACAAACCCCAACATACATCCATTCCAAACTGTCACAGTACACATGCATCTCATATTCATCAATACAGAGAGCACTTAAAAACTGAACCTGCATCTGTATGAGGTAACACCAGGGCACAAACTGAAAGAACATGATAACTTCAAGCATGTACAACTAAATTTCTCTGAGTATATCCACTCCAAAATCAGCCACATGTGGTCAGCATTTAATCTGCATGAGATTACAGACACACTGCTACATGATCAAAAGATTGATATATGGCATATACCACGAAGTAGAATAATTGTTCCTATATTCTTTAAGGATACTATCAACTCTATGGCACTTCATAATGTGTCTGATGAACAACTACTTCCATCAAACACTTTGCCACCAAGGTTGCCTGACCTCAGGGACCCACTGATTTTCATCTGTGCGAAGCAATAAAAGCTTTGATCTACAAAGACTATCTCCACAGTCTCCATCATCTGAAGGACATCGTCACTAATTATATTAAGTACGTCCCCATGCAGAATTGGCACACCAAGATAAGACAAGTTATGTTTCTGTAATTTATTTATGAACCACCTGATGATCTATACAATCGAAACATGCAGCAGTAAAGAATAACAACAACAGAAATTAACAGTGACCCTTTGTTAGATTTTATTAACTTCAATAACAATAGTGTAGTTGGTCTCCTCATACCTTGATACCATGACCTGGGTTAATGTCTGTCTACAAATATGTGGGGACCACTCCCAACAATTGTTAATGACTAGCAAGTTCACTGTTAGAAATGTGTTCTTACATGTGAACAGTGAGTTTTGAATAACCCTGTACATTAGACATTACAACTAAACATTGCAGTCATGCTCAGTGTTCAGGAGGTGCCAGGTACAAATATCAGTCCACAAATCAGCCATAATGACTACCGTTTTTCAGTTCTCACAAACCCCTATGGGAAAATGCTGGTATAGTACCTCAAAACAGGCCACAACTATTTCTTTCCATATTCTTTACAATTCATTAGTCAAACATCCTACCATTCAATGCTATATGGCCTCAGCTACTGACAGTGTTATCAAATTTCCCTATACAGATCATAATGGTGCAGTGTGAAACTGTAAGTGCACATACACTTGTTGCAAATAGTACTAATTCTGCAAGCAGACGTAGCTCCCAACAGTATCTCCCCGCCATCACTTACGAGCAAAATTCTTTTTTAGGTGAGCTTAAAACTATCCCCCCCCCCCAATACCAGATAATATGAATGGGCTGTAAATGCAGAAAGCAAAGTTCCTGGTAAATCATAAGTAAATAAATATATTGTAACATGTTGCGGAACGGAGACCCCCTCCCTACCCAGCAGCAACGTGGCGACTCAGGCCACAGGTGCGTGGCGGTAACGAAG